GCTCCATGGGTTCATGAGTTTATTTCCATGCCCTAGGCAATAAAGCTTGAGAAGTTCAAACCTCACCATTAGAGTTGTTTTGGAAGAAATGGCATGGAAAGGTTATTTTGGTTCACCACATTTCAAGGTCATCAAATTTGATTCAAAAGTACAAGGGGTTGATTGAAGAAGTTGTCATGCTTGGACAAGGCTTTGTTCCCATTGGTCACAAGTGCATATTTATCTCAACTCTCAAGATATGGAAGTGGTTTTGGTGGCTATGAGTTCTCATTTTCATCCTCAACAAATTCTATTTACAAAGCAATTGTTTTGGTACAAGAATTTTGTTCAAAATTGTCAAAGTTCCTCAAAGCATTTTCTTGATCCAAGAGTTAGGGTTTTTAACTTCAAAGAAGCATATCTTGCTCATATTTTAGTATTTTTGAGTGATTCCAAATACATCCTTATCTTAAAAGGGTTATCAACAAATCACTTCAAAAGTTTCAAGGAGTTTTCATGTGGAAGAAACTTGATTATGAAGAAAGTTTACAAGTTCTCCAGATGAACCCCCATTTCCCCATGTGTGACTTCAAATGATCATAACTTGGTCAATTTTTATCACCTCGAACCTATTATTTTTCCATAATAATATTTAGGATGTGAAATTTATGCCTTATTTTATGTTCAAAGTGGTAAAATGGATGGAAGATACCCTAAGGATACAAAAGATTATAGGTCATTTCATGATTTTTTGCCAACTTCAACAATTCACAACTCTCTCAATTTTTGTATATTTTGAATGGTTCAAGTTTCAAAATGTTATTCAAGAGGTCTATTTCATTCCATATTTTTTGGTCAAGAGCAAATTCTAAGTGGAAGGTCATGTTTGGATGCAAAATATTATAGGTCACTTTTGAAGAAAAATTTGAAATATTTCTAAGTATGGAAAGTCAACCTTTTTTCCCCAACTTTGACTCAATGCAACTTTCAGCTCAAGCATCCATTTGATTCCATTCTTTTTCCATTGCAAAGCTTGTAACCTCATCTTTCTAAAGCATCAAGAATCATGCCTTAAGACCCTTGAGTTGAGAATGCCATTAGACTGAACTTGGTAACTTGGAACTAAATTTTCTTCATAAGTCAGAATTTGAAATTCATGTTTTGGCTTCTAAACATCAGATTAGCATGCGTTTGTGATATAAACATGTTTAACCAAGTTGCCAAAGTGGATTAGAGCCTTAAAACGCAAGGATTGGATGAGTTTTGATGGAAATCAGATCACACTTTGCTCGTGCATCAGGTTTACACGATTTCCCTCCAAACTTCATCATTTCACACGCTTGAACATTCCATTTGATTCCCTATAAATAGAGGGTCATCCCCCATTCATTTCCTCAAGCTTGGAGAGCCAAAAACACTTTGTCAAAACCTCACACGAACTTCAAATTTTTGAAATCAGTTTTTGAGATTCCAGCCTTTTCTTCCAAAATTCTTTGCACATTCATCTTCCTTAAGCATCATACAAACTCTCCAGTACTCAAATCAAGCAAAACCATCTATAATCCAAGCTACAAAAGTCCAGTTTCAGAGCTTCTTTCTTGAACTTCAAAAGGTAGAATTCTCCACCATTTGGATCCAAATAAAGCACTAACCTATTCTACTCCTTCTCTTGATTCTAGTGCTTCTTACAATTTTTAAATCCATTGAGAATTGAGAGAGAAATCTCAAATTGAAGGTGTTCGCTATTTTCTGGGTTTTTGATTCATATCTCTTTGTATACTTTATATAAATTTGGCGCGATGGTGGTGTTAGGATCGCCTTGAAGAGACGAATCCAATGATACTGGTCTGGGATCCTAATTTTACCGTTTGAAAAATAATTTGAGTTATTTCTGATCTCATGAATATTTTTTCATATTTTTATTTTGATAATTGATATTTTTTATATTTTTTACATTGTTTGCTTTGTTTTAATTACCTTAAAAATACTTTCTGACATTTTTTAATTCTAAAATTTTTTCCTAAATGTCATTTTGCATATTTCTGACTTTTTGAAAATTTTATGGAATTTTATATTGATGTTTACTATTTTTGACCTATTTTCTATTTGCTTGAACAATTTTAATTAGTTTTAAAATAGTTTCTGACTTTTAAAAAATTTCCAAAAGTTTTTTAAAAATATTTGAGTCCTTTTCTGATTTTTCTATGGTCTTACTTAATTTTTCTTGATTAATTTGAATATAGTTGATATTTTTCTTTCTTATTTCTATTTTAAAAGATTTTTAAAATCTTTTTTAATGTACATATTAAATGCAATATTATTTTATGATTATTTTCTGGCTGAACTTGGGTTGAATTTTGATCATGAAATTTATTAACATTATTGTATCCATGGTGTTGAGTCTAACTCCATAAAAATGGATGAATAATTTTAATAATAGTTTGATTTAAATTTAATTCAAATGTGGTTTGTATATTCTCTCCCACCCCTCTTCATCTTGTCCCTTTCTCATTACACTAAGTGTTATTGGAGCATGATCTCTATATCATGCCTCAAAACAAATGGTGAATAAATTGCTATTGACCGGCCTCAAAGTAGGTGCGACTTCTATATAAGTACACTTACGATTGCTTAACATAGCGCTAAATTTTGTCCCGATTTGAATAAATGATCATTCGTGGCCCAAACCTATATTTGCAAGCCCAAGTATGTTAATTTGATCCCTTTGATCCAATAACCTTGAGATTTATTGTGTGGAGGCTTTGGTTCTACCAATCCTCTAATGGATCTACAACACTTTTGGTCAACGCGGATCACTTAAACATCGTTGATCATTAAATGATACTTTTGAGGATTCCAAATGGATGATATACTTGACAAAAAGCAAATGCAACTTGTTGTGTGGAGGCTTTGGTTCTACCAATCCTCTAATGAGTTCCAAATGTAAGTTTCAAGATGGTCATCTGACTAACCACTAATTATTAAATTGTTTTTACTTTATGCCCTTTTATTTTTTATGCTTTATGTACCATTTACTTTAAGCATTACATTTCATGTCATTTTTATTTTTCTCACTTGAGCCTTTTCTTTTCTCTTCTAAGACACCTAATAATCAACATGAACCATAAAAACACCTTTAAAATATTTGGACTATTTGGTTACTATCCTTGGCATTATGGAGCATGGGACTTCTTGGACTTAGGATTAAAAACCTTGGCCTATGTTGGAGACCTTATGATCTTAATTGATATTTTGTCTGGAGTTCTTGAGGTTTACCTCAAGACATTGGGTTGTTTGTTTGTTTTGTGTGCATATTATTGTGATTACATTCTTTGTTTGTAATATGTAATTCACCCGTATACAGTCGTTACTTTGCCCAATTTTTATGAAGACTTAATACACTTGAAGTTTAGTTCTCTCAAGAGGTCTAGTATCTTTGCTTGCTTGGTTTCAATCCAAAGAATGAGAATTTTATCTTGACTCATAATATCAAGTATTGACTTCTTGTTGGTTAGATGGTTCTTATCCCTAGCTTTTACCTTATGCTCTAGGATAGTCTCTTCTTCTCCTCCCATCTTCTTTAATTTCAAAAATCTTCTCCCCCCTTTTGAAAAACTCTTCTTGTTCTCTTTTTAAAAAAAAAACTTTTAACCACTTTCATAATAAACTTGGACTTAGGTCCATGCATTTTCAAAAAAAAAATCATAAATAAACTCCAATAAACTTAATAAAACCTTGACATTTTTGTAAGAAGACTAAAAGTCAATCAATCTAATCCAAACCATTTTGCCATTTTGGATCTTATCTTTAAAACTTTTTCTCAAAAGATTAGACTTTTGTTAATCCTTGTAGTGATGCAAACAACTATACTTCTATAATATATAGTGAAGAGAGATATTTTCCACTTGGGTGTTGAGTGAGGCATTGTTGATTTTAAAATCCAAGCCATATCCTCCACTTTGAGATGATGTAAATTCTCCTTTCTCATGATTGTGGGTAGTAAGTATGTTTTCCACACGGACAATGACAATGATGTCTTATCTCATAAAATTAACCAACACACTTGTGTTTTAAAATTTTTAAAGAGGAACTACGTTAACCATGATCCTCTATTACAGGGAAGGTGGTACGTAGGCACTAAAGGTTCGCAACCGTGGCGGGTGCAAAAATCATGAAAAAATATTTCTTTTCTCACCTCCACCATCTATTTTTATACAACATTTTTATAGCCAAAATATACAGATTTTACAAAGAGGTTCCTGCAGAGTACCGTAGATGTTTAGGGTGCTAATACCTTCCCTTTGCATAACCAACCCCCTTACCTTGAATCTTTCCCCCTTTTTTTTATGTTATTCTCTCTTTTCCCATTCCTTTGGAAACAATAAAGCGCGGTGGCGATTTTGATTTTGATTTTTACAAGTCTAGTCAATCCAATAGCTTAGTCTTAACATTTCTACCGCTACAATACGAGTATAAGAATAAACTCTCCAAATATTTTAATTGACAGGAAACATCTAATTACAATTTATAATATGCAAGAATTACTTATCTTTCATTAGTGGCATTGCGTTGTGTTGGTTGTTCGACCATCATCGATGTGATCAAAACTTGTGGGCTTGGTGATTGGGCAGAGATGTAATAGTGCTATCCAATTCAGTTTTGGGAGAACATGTCATTAACTAGAACTGTTGGGAACCGAATGACATCTCCATCGAACTAATTGTAAACTTATCTAATAAAGACGTTAAGAATTGTTGTTTTTAGGACCGGTCAATGATATGGAAGACTACAAATTAATATTTATTTAAGCTAATACTAAACCCCTATTCATAACTAAAAAAACCTTAAAATATAAACAATTGTGAAACCTAATTCTAAGAAATGATTTGAGACACTTTAAGATAAGATCAATATATTATTATTCATACTATCTAGCGTCTACAATAAATAGGTCTGGCCATGCAGGAGTAACAAAGAAGAAGCTAATACATAGGACAATCGGAGTATGGAAGTTAGTATACCTAATATAACCACTGGTCCAGAGCCCACTTTAGTAAACTTTGTAACTCTTGCTGAATCTGTAGCTCTAGCGTCCATCCTATATTTGAAAATATCTCCGGTAAACACAACCTGGTCAATTTTATAAAACAAATGTCAGATATATCATAGTTCGATTGCAGGTAGTAGAATTGAACTAAACTATTATAGCTACGCATTGATGCAAGTGTCTTACTGTTCTGATGGCTTTGATGGTTTGATCAACAACATTTCATGCTTCTGTATAAGCAGCTTATCCACGTGTTGATATCGATTTGACATTAGAGATATTGGGAAAAGATAAAATGATCATTAAGATAAAATGATCAAGAAATGAATCAAGAGAAAAGCATATGCACAATATGAGAATAATAAATAATGAGGATGTTTATGGCAGAAATTAAAATGTGTTTCTCCGTAATTGAAGAGGTAGATTGCATTTGTGTACCATTTCATGCTTAAATAGCATTCCTAGCAAAGCATTGAGTTGTGTCAATAGAACTCCATCACCTATGCCCAATAAAGCAGTCAAAAAGAGTATATATAAAGTACCGAGAAATCCGCTAGATATGCTGCATTAGAAGCGCCCGAGTAAATATAGGATAAATTAAATTACATGTGAAAAATAATATCCATAAACATCACCCAAACATAAAGAATATTATGAACCTGAAATTTAGAAGATTTTGTTTTGTAGAATAGAGGTCAATCATTCAAAACTCATCCCAGTGTCAACATGCTTTGCAGGCAGGGATTTAAGAGAGCCATCAGCCTCCCTATTGAACTGTGATGAGGCAAATAGAATCATATCAGATACAATTTCATGGAGATAGGAAAAGTTTTCATGTCGATTGTAGTACCGGCTTAACAAAAATTTATACAGCATGATCCCCATGTCATAGAAAAATATGGCAAAAATATAGGAAAGTAAAATCCCTCACGGCGAATCGTTTTGCATAATAATTACCAAAAATTAAAAACAAAAATTCAGTACCTTGAGCAGATGACCTTGGATCTTGTTCGACAGTTGAATTACTGTATAGAGACATAAAATCATGCATCAGTTTCCTCCCTGCTTCTGTTCCACATAGAAAAAATAAATCAAAAAAATCTAATCCTGACGAGAGTGGGTGTCTTGTTCGTCGTTTGTGTTTCAACTCCCACCACCACCAGCCAACAAAAATGTCCACCGCTAAGAAAATAAAATTGACGAAGATGATGAAGAAAAGGGGAAATGAAGAAGATGAGGAATAGGGATTTCAGAAAAGAATAGGAATCAGAAAGATTTGGAATGTTGCAACGGAAAGATTTGAGAAGGGAATAGCAGTTATAAAATTAGCAATGAATCAGGGTTGTTTGAGAGGTAGGAAAACAAATGCATCGTGAAAGTCTGTAAAAGAATATGAAAATATGAAATAGAGAGCAATGAAGGTATCCACGTGGAGTGTTTTTGGTATAAAAGGACAAAATTGTCAGAATGAGTTTTCTTATATAATAGATAAGTAATTCACTTTTGATTATTTAATGGAATAAATACGTAAATTATATCACATAAATATTTGAAATGTTTTTTTGCTATTCTATAACTTATATGGTTTGTTTATGTTCATTAACCTTTTTGTTGTATTGATATAAATTTTAATAAATAATTTATTTACTCATTAATTTGAATATAATATAAAATTATAATTTTTTTTTTTTGGAAAAGAAGAATATATATTCAAAACCAAAAAACAGATACACACAATGGATCCAGCAAAACAAAAAACCAAGGCAACCAAGAAGAGAACAAACACCACCTAAGGGATCATAAGTCTATCCAAATTACTCCTAAGCTTAGGATTCATCCAACATCTGTAAACAATGGTGTCGGTGATTCTAGTGCCTACATTATTACTTGTAGTAACATGACCAAAACACTTGTTATTTCTAAACAAACAGGTTTCATAAACCGCTTCAGTGAATGCACATTTGATAATCTTAGCTTTGCTTCCCTTACTCCTGCACTTCTTGATTATCCAGTCCAACTCCTCGTTCCATCCACCTGAAGAATGTGGAATATCAAGCCAATCAAGGGTTTGTTTCCAGAATTGACACAACACCTTACATTGGAAGAATATATGTTGAATGGACTCTTTTTCTTTACAGAAACAACAAGTGTAATCATTGACCATCCCAAACCTCATAAGTCTCTCTTATGTTCCTATTCTCTCATGATAAGTCATCCAAAGGATAAACTGGGCTCTCAGACGAGCCATGTTACCTTTGAAAAGATATCTCCACTTAACCTCCTGGAAATGGTGATTTAGCGCTTTATACATTATGCCTGTTTGAAATTTTTGACTCTGCATCATACTTTTCCAAACTAGGTTCATACACACTTCTTGTCTTTTATTTAGAACTACTTTCAATATCCAGGAAGTGTTAGACTTTATAGGGACATTCATAATACTCCATTTCTTTAAGAAATAACAGTGAACCCATTTTATCCACAAGCTATCGGATTTACCATTCAGATTCCACGGTAACTTAATGATATTTGCTTTGTTCCATACCTCAATAGAAATAATATTCAGCCCTCCTTGTTTCGTCGGTGTGCAGACTCGCTTCCAAGCAATTAGGGATTTATGCGTCAGCTTATCACCACCAGACCACAGAAAAGAGCGACAAATAGCATTAATACTTTTGATAACTTTCTTGGGTAAAGGAATGCACTGCAGCCAGAAATTAAAAATTGTAAACAGAACATTGTTTATCAATTGCGCCCTACCCGTAAAGCTCAGAAGTCGAGCACTCCAGTGTTTAATTCTTCCTGTAATTTTATCTGCTAAGAGAAGACAATGCGCAGTAGAAATTCTTTTTTTTGATAAAGGGATGTCTAGATACCGAAAAGAAATGATGCCTTCACTGTAATTCACACTAGCCTAAATCTCATCTTCACCTCATCCGCAACATTTCCAAAGTAAATGCTACACTTGGATTGGTTAACCTTTAATCCAGTGGCTGCTGAGAAACCATTAAAAGCATTAATCACCAATCTCACAGACATGGGATCCCCTCTTGTAAACAGAAGCAGATCGCCCGTAAAGCTGAGATTTATGATAGGTGATTTTTCGCATTTCAGATGAAAATTGAAATCCGGAACCTAATTTAGCTTATGCAGAACACGATAGAGATACTCCATAACAATCACAAAAAGAAAGGGGGAAATGGGGTCCCTTTGCCTAAGCCCTCTCTTAGATAGCACAAGATTAGAGAGTTCTCCATTCACACGGTATCTATACAACACAGTATTCACCGTAATCATGATCCATTTAATGAACATGTGAGGAAAGCTTAATTCATTCAAAATTGCTTCTAACGCTGACCATTCCACTGTGTCATATGCTTTGTGTAAGTCCATTTGGAGCATGCATCTCGGAGTACCTCCCTTAGTATTGTAGCCATTGATCAGGTCATACGCCAATAATATATGGTCATGGATATGATGTCCCAGAATAAACGCTGCTTGACTCTGATGCAGAACAACACTCAATACTTTCCCCAGACGCGTAGACATAATCCTCGAAATGATTTTGTAAATAACAGTACAACACGAGATAGGGCGAAAATCTTTCACCATATTGGTGTTGTCCGATTTAGGAATCAAAGTGATTACAGAATAATTAACTGCTTTGTAGATAAGACCTTCCTCAAAGAATTCCTTCACCACCACAATGACGTCTACCTTAGTTATGCTCCAAGTAGCTTTGAAAAATTTAGCATTATACCCATCAATCCCTGGTGCAGAGATGTCACTAATGCCTTTGAGACTGTTTACAATTTCTTCTTCAGTTATAGGCATCAAGAAAGATGTCATTTGATCACTGGTGAGCTGCTTGCCTTGCCTCATAGCTACAAGATCAATACTATCCAATTGGGTGCTCTTAGTGCCAACCAGGTTCCTGTAAAACATAATAATCTCTTCTGCTATTTTCTCCTACTCAAAAATCACATCACCATTCTCAGTAATAAGCGATAGAATTTGCGTTCTCCTAGTTTTCGATTTTAAGGACGCATGAAAATAAGTGTTATTCCCGTCTACTAATTTAAGCCAATCAACCTTTGATTTCTGCCTAAGAAGCTGCTCTTCAAGGTTGCTCAGATTCAGAACTTGCATCGTGTAACTTCACATTCTCAATAATCTGCATATTAAACTGATCTGTTAGAAGATCTTTTTGTATAGCAATGAGATGCTCTCTGGCTTTGGACAATTCTCTCGAAATTCCAATGAAGGTTCTTCTCAAGGATTTAATAACGGGTTGGAGACGTTTAAGCTTTTTCCACAGCCTGCACATAGCAGTAGCACCTAACATAGGGTTGTTCCAGTTCTCTTTCACAACTTCAAGAAAACCTAAGACATTAGTGACAATATTTTGGAACTTGAAGGGAGTTCTACTAGGATGTCTATCTTCCTGTCTACTCAGGCACAAGAGCGAGTGGTCTGACACCCCAGAATTCAGAATTTGAAGTTTGAAATCTATGTGTTGTTGCAGCCAACTTAAGTTTCCAAGCACATGGTCTATACGAGAGTATATCACACCATTAGCTTGGTTTTTTGTCCAAGTATAAAATTTCCCACTACTATCTTTTTCATGAAGATCCGTTACTTCAAGCATCTTCTCCAAATCCCTATATTCATTCTCAATGACCATGTTTCCCTATTCTATTTTGAGCATGAAGGACATTGTTAAAATCCCTCATGAGCGCCCCATATTATAATTGTCTTTGACATAATACTTTTTTGTCTTATTTTTATCCTAATTATTATCAAATAAAGATAAAAAATTAAGATACTCTAATATTGAAAAAAAAATATAACTTTTATCAACTTATATACTTATATTTTTCTTTTTATTTTATTTATTATTTTTTGTTTGATTATTATTTACGCAAGTATATTATAACTTTACTTAATTAACATCGTATACTATTAATTAATTTTTTAAAATAAATTGATAATATTGAAAGCTAATTCATTTTAAATTATTTATGTTTAGTTTTGATTTTTGAATAATTCTATACACAAAGATTTTTTAACTTTTTTTAATTATCATCATAAATACTACATAAAATAGATAGAATTATAAGTCATGATGACAACTTAAGACGCAATCCTAACCCTAATATTGATATGATATTATATTAAATTTTTCAATTTTTATATTATTATTTTTTCTAAAAATATTATTATATCACATTTAAATTACATGCAATTTTTTTTTCTATTTTATAACTTATATTATTTGTTTATGTTCATTAACCCATTTATTGTATTGATATAAATAGATAAAAAATTTAGATACTTTGAAAAAAATGTAACTTTTATCAACTTATATATTTATATTTTTCTTTTGATTTTTTTTAATTATTTTTTGTTTGATTATTATATACGCAAGTATATTATAACTTTTACTTAATTAACATCATAAATACTAAATAAATAAATAAATAAATTTTTTAAAATAACTTTATAATACTTAAAAACAATTCACTTTTGATTATTTATGTTTAATTTTAATTTTTGAATAATTCTATACACAAAAATTTCCTTTTTTTTTTTTATTATCATCATAAATACTACATAAAATAGATAGAATTATAGATTATGATGACAACCTAAGAGACAACCCTAACTCTAATATTGATGTGGCATTATATTATATTTTTCAAT